AATAAGGTAATTCTTATATATTATGTTGTTATCTTGAAAATATATTTTTATATTATATAATTTAAAAATAAAATATAAAAATTATCTATAATTAATTAAATATAAATCGTCACTCAAAAAAAATTATTTAAGAAGTTAATTTGCTGATTCATTAAGTTCTCCATGATATTAGGTAATTTTAATTATTTGTCATAATTTCTATAATCTTATATAATTATTATATAATTAAAACAAATTTATTAGGGTTGCGAAAAAAACCCGGATCCGAAGAACCAAACCAAACCCGTTCCGAAAAAAGTAGTATCGAACCCGAACCGAAATTGATTTAATATCCGAATCGGTTCAAAATTTTGGTATTTAGAGAACCAAAACCAAACCTGACCCGGACCAAATTATTTCAGGTAGAATATATCTGAAATTATATACCTATATATATTAATTATTTTAGATTTAATGTATATAAAAAACATTCAAAAAAAAAATATATATAAATATATATAAATAGAATACTTTGAAATTGTTCAAAATACTTGTAAATATATGTAAAAAGTCAAACATACATGTCTAAAATTGCTAAAGTACACTCAAAACATCAAAAATACTTTTAAAAAATTATTGATTCACAATCCAAATATTCAAATTAAAGTAATTTATATGTTAATTTTACGTATTTTGACTTATGTTATTCAATTATTTGTAATATATTAAAATTTTAGAAATTTAAAGTATATAATCAATAATTAAATTTTAAAAAATAATTTAAATGAGTTATCCAAACCCGAACCAACCCCGCAAGGATCCGAACCGAACCCGAACTGAAATTTAGAAATATCCGGATGTGGCTAAAATTTGTGAACCCGAAAACCCGAAACCTGAATAGATCCGAATCCAAATGGGTATCCGAACGTCCACCCCTAAAATTTATCATATTATATTTTTAGAAAATAAATAACTTATGCATTATCTTTTAATCTTGAAAATATATTTTTATATTATAAAATTTTAAATCAAGATATAAAATCAAATATAAATAAGTAAAAATATTTGTATAAATATTATAATATAATATAAATCAAGCAAAATATTATAGAAATACATTATTTTGAATATTTCCGATGTTTGAGTTTTGTTATTGATAATTATTTGATGTTTCATTTGTACCTTTTGAAAACATAAATAATAATTTATTATGCTGATTTTTAAATTAATGAAACATCAGGTAATCAATATTTATAAGAGAATTATGTCCGCAATTGCGGGCAAAACACCTAGTAAGAAGGTATTTATTTTCCTTGTTTGCAGTGTTTTTTAGCGACAAGCGTTTGTCAAGACATATCTTATTAAGTTATTATCATCTACTCTAATTGTTATTTGAGATCATTTGTAATCTGAGTCTAATTGACCCGGTCGTTTGAGATCTTTCGTTTTCTTTCTGACCGTTACTTTGTAAAACATACGGTTTTCTTCATACATACGCCTTTATAGAAATGGACTTTTAACTATTTTGTTCTTGTAATTAAATGGACATTATAGTTCTTACTCCAATCCCACATCCGTAATAATCAACAAATGTCATCTAGTATATATTAGGTATTAATCAATCTAAAAAACGTCAACTGGTGGTGAGATAGAAGTTCATGTTTCTTGATATAGTGAAGTGTTTAGAGAGGTTCTCTTCGGATAACTGAAGACTAACTCTATAAAGGGAGATGTGATCAACATAACACATTACCAGTTTGACTCTTTAAATTATTCTAACATCTTCTTTTTGTGATAACATAAACATAAGTATATGACCAACGACATCTCTGTATAATTCATCAACACACGACAGTAGATTTTGTTGCGATAACCCCTTCTCTGATGATATGATGATGCTTAATAGCTCCAACCTTGCACGGAATTTAGCAGTTGAATCAACAAGAATCAGTGTGTGTACAAGCCTGTTTTCAAATCTAAAACAATTCAAGGCAAGATGGTGTGAATGTGGTCTCTTCTTTAATAGTATATTAGATTCTAACCTAGGTAACCGCACAAGTGTTTGTTTTCAGTTTTATATACATAAATATTTATTTTAGACGATTAGTGGCATACATTTGAACGTCAATCATATATTTAAATGTTTATATAAATATTTGAAATACCCATAATAATTTTATATTTTACATATTGTAATTAATAAATTGTTTAAAATCGTTACATGTATATGTCGTTTCTTATTATATTTTATCTTATTCTATTTGAATTTAGTTTTTAAAATAATTAATATATGCATGAAATAACATATTTAAAAATTATTTTGTATTTAATTTATTTTAAATTTAAACCCGTCCTTCAAAACCGGATTCCCTCTTAGCAATATTTATTACTTTTATTCCTTTTAGATAATATATTATTATATATGCAAAAGTCTAATCTATGTTAATTTTTACACATGTATTATATAGTTTGTTAATGTTAGCCATCTTACCAACCTATTATACTTTTGAACATAAATAGTTTATACTTATGAAAATAAAAATATATAAATTTATCAATTTAATATAACTTTATCAGATTTAGTTCAGTATAATATTTTTTAAATATGATTTGTTATGATTATATAATAGATAAAAATAGGATATAATATTTTTTTATAAACAATAACTGAATATATTAATGCATAATAATAGTTCATTGCTAATGATGAATTAGTGAGTTATTTACATAACTTTTTGAAAGTAAACTATTGTTAAATTATTTTCAACAGATATGTTAGAGTTTGTATATATATATATATATAAACTAATGACAAAATTTAGTAAAAACAGTTAGAGAATTTTTATATTATATATGTATATATAAACTAATGACGAAAAAAATATAAGAATTTAGTTATTAAAATAATTAATGAATTTAGTTATAAATATAATAGTGAAAACTAGTTTATATATATATATATATATATATATATATATATTAAACTAATGACGGAAAATAGTGACAACAGTGACGGATAATTTTTAAAAGATAATATGTTGTCAAAATCTTTTGAAACAGACTTGTTAGAATTTTTAAATTTAATATTAATATTTAAAATGCAAAGATATCAAAAGATATTATGATAGATAGTTCATAAATTATATATATTATTAGTCTTAATAAATATTTTAAAGGATGATTCAAGATTAAAAAAAAACACACATAAAATAAATCATGACTTCTGATTTAATAGATAAGATGTAAAATAATAACATAATATCTTCTTCCTCTGTTGTTTATGTGTAGTAAGCTCTATCCTTAAAACTGGATAGAGTTAGTTACTTGGTAAACTTAAGAATAAAACTGTCTGTACTTGATTCCTTAGGTAGCACACAGCATATGATAAAAGCCTTAATAACATCATATAATCTAGTGCCATGACTTGTTGATTGCTTTTTCATCATCTTTGGATAGTGTACATAATACTAAACTTGTAAATCAAAAGCTGCTGATTAATAAAGGTAGAATGTGTTTGATGACCACATTCTAGTTAAACCAATTTGTTGTAAACTCTTATGTAGTTATAGTACTTGTGATAACTTAAAATGTGTGTGATAAAACAGGTGTATAGGGAATGATGGATGTGATAGAGGAGGTGAAGAAGAAGAAAGAGTTGGAGGAGAAAGCTGATGAAGGAAACTCTGAAAATTCTGCTGAAGGAGGAGGAAACACAGAATCTGAAGAAGAAGAAGACCAAGAGATAGAAGAGGAAGACGAAGAGGAAGAATCTGAGGTTCACGAAGATGAGCCAGCAACTAAGAAAATCAAACTCTCTGCTTAAATGTTAAACTCTCTCTTTTGATGTTTTATAATGCTTTTGGTGGTACATGTAGAAAACTTATTTATTTTGGTATTTATTCTGAAACAAATAACTTTGCTTCTGTTATTCTGTATATAAGTTATGCAGTGTTACAAAAAAAAAATTATGTTTGGCTAGAGCATTAGCATAAGTATTGTACTCTCTATTATCCAATCAACATTTGTCAAAGAAACATTTAAAAAAGAATCTAACAAATGCAAATGCTTTTCAAATGTTATTTGTTCAATGTTCTCATATTGAGCTTTTGGAAGAGTATTTGTAGATAAAATATATAAAAACATAAAAATAATTATATATAACTAATTTATTTTTAATATTATAAAAATATTTTTATAGTAAAAATAAATTTATATTTTTAAAATAAAATTCTAATTAAATTTTTTTAAAATTGTTTTAAAGAACAATATTTCACATTAAAATATAATTTAATTTATATAATTACATATATCTTTCATTATTTTTAATAACAAACCTAACATAATATATATTTATATATTACATATATAAAAATAATATTTAGACATTAATAAATAAATTATATAACATATATTAATTTTTAGGATAATTTAATATATGAATCATTCACTACTCTACCAATAAATAAATATATTAATTTATATATAAATTATACAGAATAATTTATTTATTTAATAATATTAATATATGTTTATATCCAAAAGATAATATTTTCAAAATAAATTTTACATTTTTAAATAATGAATAAGATTCATTTTAAATAAAGATATATTATCAATATATATTATAAATATATAAATATTATTTTAAAATAAATATATTATTATACTAACTATTATGATAATTTTAAAATTGTATACTGTTATTGTTCTGCCAATCACTTTATTCAAAATCTCAACCAAGAGTTCTTAATACACGTTTTTGTAACCGATTATAATGAGACTCCTTAAGACACGTGTCAGCAAATTACGAAATATGATTTTTTTTTTTTTTTTCATTTCTTCTCCTTTCTCTAGTCTTCTCCGACGATTGGTTTTGTGAAGGGAAGTCTCCTCCGTTCAAAACTTAGAACTGTTCATGGAGGACGCTCCAGAAACGCAATCGGTATTTTCTTGCTAATAGATCACAAACTCTCTCTCTCTCTCTTATCTCTTTATTTCTGAGCCAACTCGGTGACGAGTCAATGGGACAAGAATCGTTTATCTACAGCTTCGTCGCCAGAGGCACTATGGTTCTCGCAGAGTTCACATGTAACTTCCCGTCGATAGCAGCTCAATGTCTCCAGAAGCTTCCTTCCTCCAGCAACAGCAAGTTCACTTCCTACTGCGATCACCATACTTTCAACTTCCTCGTTGAAGATGGCTTCGGTAAGAATTATATGGACATGTAGCTCATCTGAATCTCTTAGGACATGTTGTAGATTAGGATTCACTTTATTAGATAATTAAACAGTGCTTTGAACTAAAGCTCGAGCGGACTCTGTTTTTTTTTACTATTAATTCAAAGAGTATTAAGATCATTTAAGATGTATCAGACATATGTGAATGTGGTTCCATTATAATACATAAAGTTTCCATCTTTGGCAATGTTTCAGGTAGGATTTGACTGAATACCGGTGTCCACTTGTCCCTGATTTGGAATAAGTTTTTTTTTTTTTCTTTTTTTTTTTGTTTGGAATAAGTTTTAAAGTTTTCTACTTTCTAGCAGTGGAAGATCGATGTAGGAATTAGTTATGTGAAAGAGCCGACTCTTTCTACAGGAACTAGTTATGAATCTGGAGATGAAACTGCTCATGCGTTTAACAATTAACTCAAAAACAATTCGATCCTTGATATATGGACTAGGCTCCACTCTTTTAAAGTTTATTGGTAGTCCATGGAAAACAGAATAAGGTTGTGAATGATCAATGCACTATCTTGTTTACTGTTATAGGGATGGCATTGATGTTTGAGCTGGTTTTTGCAAAAGAGTTTTTATATATATGAGCTGAATCAGTTTAGTTATTGTATTTTTTGGTTTGAAAATTTCTCAACTTGAGGACTCCTATATTCTAAATTATAATGCTCTTTGTTGTGTATGTCACCAGGTTGTTACACCTGTAGCGCCTCTAAGTCAGCAGGTAATGGCTGATTCCAGGATTCCATATGCCATCATCTAGGGCGGGTGGTTTGCAGGACAAAGAAGGTGGCATCAGTGAATTGCTCGTGAGAAGAGATGATGAACTTCTTGAGACTTAAACAAGCCAGCCATTGAGAGACAGAAGGAGCTTCCTAACTAAGAGAAGACAAACTAAATCGTTGGTATGTTTGCGTTCTCACTTGTTTCTCTATTTCTTCGTTTTTGGTTTTATCGTTCCTTTTGACATATCTTCTAGTTTTGCAATGACTTATTGAGATAAGCTTTTTGAATTTTCATGGTAACTAATAATTTTTTTAACAACCTTTAATTAAAAACCTTGCAATAGAACACTTAAATGTTTGTGTTTCTTAACTTTGTCTGTTAAATCACTTTTAAAAATAATAAAAACCCCTAATATGGGTCTTTCCAATAATCATGCTTTAGGTGACTAACAAGAGAACAAAATTGCAAACTCTGCTGATCTGCTCGGTAAGACGTCTTGTTTTCACCGTAGTGGCCTATCTACTAAAGTAATGGGCTTAATTTGTGGTCTTGTATAAATGGTCTGAATAGTTATAACTACATCCCGCATCGGTAATGATTCAAGGCGTCATCTAGTATATATAAGGTGTGAGTCTTTTACAAGGTTGTCAACTGGTAGTGAGATTAAGTGGTTCATGATTCTTGATATGGTGATGGGTCTAAATAGGTCTTCGGACTGAAGACTAACTCCATAGAGAGTCATCAGCCTCAAATCATTGCCTGTTTGACTTTTTAAATTATTGTTTTAATTTTATTCAACATCTCTGCATGCTCATTCACGCTAAACCGACCAACTAAATTACGACCTAACTTTTGTGGCGGTCGCTCATTTCTCGGATGAGTGATGATAAGGAAAGCTTAGTTATCAGGAGTGTGGTCTCTTCTTGAATAGAAAAACTTTTATTTAGAACAATAAATCATTTCAGTTCGTATTGTATTGTGATTGTAGTAGGAAGAGTTTGTACATATTATGAAACTTGTAAATCTGATGATATTTTGATTTGTATCATCACCCACTCTGACTGTTGTCTTAGAGCTGAGTCTATACTTAATCTAAACAAACTGTTGTTTAGCGACAAGCGTTAGTCAAAAGACATCTCTTCACCCACATGACATAACTCAAGTGACTCGCTCGTTTTCTTTTTTGCCTTGGTAAAAACTTTTAGTTTTCATTATAATTGGGCTTATCTCTACCAAAGTAATGGACTTTTACGTGTGTTTTTGAAAGAAAGTGGGCTCAGTAGTTATTACTCCATCCCGCATCGGTAATAATCGAAGGAGGCATCGGGTATATATAAGGTGCAAGTCATAAAGTTAATTGTCAATCGGTGGTGAGATAGAGGTTTATGATTCTTGATACGGAGAAGGTGTCTAGAGAGGTCTTCGGACTGAAGATTAACTCTGTCAGGGAGTCATGAGTCAGTACTCATTGCCGGTTGACTTTTTAAATTATAGTTTTCTTTTGATAAATTTTTATAAATATAACCTTTTTAAATTATTGTTTTATTTTGATAAATTTTCATGAATATAACCTACACCTCTGATGATCACTCTTTTTTTTCCCAATTTTGGGGTATCTTAGACTTATGGAGAAGTTCAGATTAATCTTCAAAGGGGTGGTGCAGCACACGGATGGATCCTCACTCCACAGCCTATCCAACTATTTGTATTATGCTTCTTAAAACAATCTAATACAATCTAAGACGAAGATGATTCCTTTGCATGAGTGTGATTTCTCTTTAAATAGATAAAATTATTATCTAAAATAATAACCACTAATTAATGTGTGTGTAAACATCTGTTTTGTGATCCCACACTTTGTTTGCACATATTATATGCCCTTGCTGCCCAGCTGAGCTGCTGATTAAGACTCCGTCTAATTAAAAAGGTGCAAAGTGTGACCACTAATCTAGTTTAACCCAATTTGTTGTATATTCCAATGTATTATTTGTGCTAACTTTAATTCTATATATAAGAAGGTATTTTACTTTGTTCATAGTGTTTTCTAGCGACAAGCGTTCGTCACGACATCTCATTATCATCCACTCTAACTGTTATTTGAGATTGTTTGTAATCTGAATCTACACTGATCCGGTCGTTTGAGATCGCTCGTTTTCTTTCTGATCGTTACTTTGTAAAACATAAGGTTTTCTTCATACGTACGCCTCTATACCAAAGTAAAGGACATTTAACTTTTTGTTTTCTTTTTTTTTGGTCTAATAACTTTGGTCTTGTAATTAAATGGGCATTATAATTATTACTCCAATCCCACATCGGTAATAATCAACAATGTCAGCTAGTATATATTAGGTATTAATCAATCTACGAAACGTCGACCAGTGGTGAGATACAAGTTCATGTTTCTTGATATAGTGAAGTGTCTAAATAGGTTCTCTTGGGATTACTGAAGACTAACTCTATAAAGGGAGATGTGATCAACATAACACACTACCAGTTGACTTCTTAAATTATTCCAATATCTTCTTTTTATGATAAATTTTCATAAACAAAAGTATACTAGGTGTTATGTCCGCACATGCAGACTTAATTATCTTTAAATCAATTTAAAAAATCATCAAAATAAATGATTATTTGTATCCAAAAAAATTGACCTAAAACATAAACTTTTGTACATGGTAAATTTATTCACAAATTAAAAAAACTATTTTTTCCTTTAAAACTTTGAAAAATCTAAAGTCTATTTAATTTCTTTTTTAATTGATAAAAAATATAGAAATCTATATTTCCATTTGAAAAATTGAATCGATAAATATACATTCAAAAATTGATCTTACAAAAAAATAATATTAGTTTGGATAATAATACAATATATTTGAATTTATTTTTATCAAACACATATTTTCTTTCTTTTTAATAATCTTTTATTTTATATGATTAATTCATGTTTAAGGTTTACCTATATAAAATAGAAATATAAATTTAATTTAACGTGTGAGTTCAGAGGAGAAAAATAACTTCACAAATATATATATATATACATACACACATATCATTATATTATTATATTTTTAATAAGTAATTACGATTATCTTTTTTCAATTTTCTCTTTTGAATTATATACAATTAAATTTTTTTAATTATACAATTATATTTATGTGTTTTTGTTTTAAAATTTTTTTTATTAAAAATATATTTTCCGGATAACAACACAGTATATATAAATATTATCTTTTTCTTTTAAATATATATTTAGATTATGGATGATTCTTATCATTATTACTAACTAGCTGCATAACCCCCGCGCAAGCGCGGAGCCGGGATCTGTGTTTTTTGTTGTTGTTGGTTTAGTGGGTTATTCTAATAATACCAAATAATGGTGAAATTGAAAGAATGTAACAAGAGTGTAAAGTGAAAATATTGTATATATAATGTGTTAAATGTTATTTATATACGAGATAAGGTTTATAGGAATAACTAAATTATAATATAATTTTTAGTGTATAAAAATTGGTGTCTATATTGTTTTTTTATGCTGGAAATAGTTTTTATATCGGATGTCAAAACTTGATATAAATATTTATTTATAGTATTTATATTTGTACTAAACGATTTATCATTTTGAAAATAACTTTAATTTAAGTTAATATTTGTTGTTTGGGTTTCAATAGATAGGTTTGGATATGTTTTTTTGTAAGTTTGGATTTTGTTCATGAATAATGTGGTATTTTTCATTACGGCGTCATCGACTGTGGAAATCCATCCGCCGGAGTCTGATAAAAATGAAATTATAGTAACTATTAAAAATTGAAGAGAAATTACATAGTTATCTTATAAATAACAAAAATATTTTTTTATTTTATTTCACATACATAATTTTTTGAAAATATATATTAGGAAATATGCTCTAACAGTAAAATATATATTAGGACATGATAGTGCCGCGTGAGACTCGTTTTTTGTTTGTTTTTTTGTTTGGCTGTTTGTTTTTGGATCCATTTTTAATTGTTTTTGGGATTTTCACTATTTTGGGCTTTAAACAATAAGTCCAGAGGAAAAAAACATAAAAACAGTAAAACTAAAAAGCCCATATGATAATAATCCAAACGAAAAAACTAAAATACATAACAGCTGCGCGGTTTGAACCCACACACTTGTAGACTTAATTAGATGCCTTATATCACTTTACTAAAGTGTATTCATTGTTCATAGTCATTTAAAAAAAACTATAAGCTTTTAAAATTTAAACGCGTGGGACCCGTAAACTTGCTGACGTGGACAGCTTAAGGAGCCTTAGAAGTGAACTATTATAATATAGATTTTAATCATTTATCTAATCAAATAAGTATTAAATTCATTTTTATTTTTGGCTAATTTATATATTTTATTCATTAAGGGTATAATCGATATTAACCACTCCAACTTTTAACGTGAGAGCTCCGTTGCGAAAAATCACTTCGCATATATATACATACATACATATCATTATATTATTATATTTTTAATAAGTAATTACGATTATCTTTTTTCAATTTTCTCTTTTGAATTATATACAATTAAAAAAAAATTAATTATACAATTATATTTATGTGTTTTTGTTTTTAAATTTTTTTATTAAAAATATATTTTCCGGGTAACAACACAGTATATATAGAAATTATCTTTTTCTTTTAAATATATATTTCGATTATGGATGATTTTTATCATTATTATTAATTTTAATCATTTATCTAATCAAATAAGTATTAATTCGTTTTTATTTTTGGCTAATTTATATATTTTATTCAATGAGGGTATAATCGATATTAACCACTCCAACTTTTAACGTGAGAACTTCGTCGCAAAAAATCACTTCGCAAATAATAATATAGACAACCAACCAATATCTTCTTTTTATGATGAATTTTCATAAACATAAGTATATAACCAACGACATCTCTGTATAAATCAACACACAACAGTAGATTTTGTGGCGATAACCCGTTTTTCTGATGATATGGTGATGCTTAATAGCGCTAACCTATGCACGGAATTTAGCAG